ACTTTAGCAGCCCGTAGAGCTGACTTTGCTCCGGAGCATTTTTCGAAAAATTAAGCTTTTTCTCCACTGATTTAGTGAGAAAAAAATTGCAAACTTTCGGTTAGAGGAACAAACGAGAACGTCGATCTCAAATTTGTAAAATTCCACATAATTGCCTGGTGATGGCGAAAATTCGAAACTTTTGCAGCCTGTACACTTGACTTTTCTCCGGAAAATTTTGCGAAAAATGAAGTTTTTTCTCCTCTGGTTTAGTGAGAAAAAAATTGCAAACTTTCGATTAGAGGAACAAACGCGAACATCGATCTCACATTTGCAAAATTCCATATAATTGCCTGATAATGACAAAATTTCGAAACTTTTACAGCCTGCAGACATTTGCGAAAAATAAAGCTTTTTCTGTCCTGGTTTAGTGACATAAAAATGGCAAACTTTCGATTAGAGGAACAAACGAGAACATCGATCTAAAATTTGCAAAATTCCATGTAATTGCCTGATGATGGGAAAAATTCGAAACTTTTGCAATCCGTAGACCTGACTTTTCTCCGAAAAATTTTGAGAAAAACGAAGCTTTTTCTCCCCTTGTTTAGTGAGAAAAAAATTGCAAACTTTCGATTAGAGGAACAAGCGAGAACATCGATTTCAATTTTTCAAATTTGCTAAATTCCATGTAATTGCCTGATGATGGGGAAAATTCGAAACTTTTGCAATCTGTAGATTTGACTTTTCTCCGGAAGATGCTGCGAAAAATCAAGCTTTTTCTCCTCTGGTTTAGTGAGAAAAATTGTAAACTTTCGATCAGAGGAACAAACGAGAACATCGATCTCAAATTTGCCAAATTCCACATAATTGTCTGAAGATGGCAAAAATTCGAAACTTTAACAGCCTGTAGACCTGACTTTTTTCCGGAAAATTTTGCGAAAAATGAATCTTTTTCTCCCCTGGTTTAGTAGGAAAAAAATTGCACATTTTTGATTAGAGGAACAAACGAGAACATTCATCTAAAATTTGTAAAATTCCATGTTATTGCCCGATGATGGCGAAAATTCGAAACTTTTGCAGCTTGTAGAGCTGACTTTTCTCTGAAAAAATTGTGCCAGAAATGAAGCTTTTTCTAGCCTCGTTTAGTGAGAAAAAATTGCAAACTTTCGATTAGAGGAACAAATGAGAACATCGATCTCAAATTTGCAAAATTCCATATAATTAATTGCCTGATGATGGCGAAAATTCAAAGCTTTAGCAGCCTTTAGACCTGATTTTGCTCCGGAAAATTTCGCGAAAAATGAAGCTTTTTCTCCCCTGGTTTAGTGAGAAAAAATTGCAAATTTTCGATTAGAGGAACAAATGAGAACATCGATCTCAAATTTGCAAAATTCCATATAATTAATTGCCTGCTGATGGCGAAAATTCGAAACTTTTACAGCCTGTAGACTTGACTTTTCTCCAGAAAATTTGCTAAAAATAAAGCTTTTTCTGGCCTGGTTTAGTGAGAAAAAAATTTCAAACTTTCGATTAGACGAACAAACAAGAACATCGATCTCAAATTTGCCAAAATTTCCATAATTGCCTGATGATGGCGAAAATTCAAATCTTTAGCAGCATTTAGACCTGATTTTGCTCCG